TCCCACGTTTCGGGCGCGAGCGGCCCAGTCGGGAGCACCCGGCCCGCCCGGCTCGGCTCCCGGCCTGCGAGGGCGGGCGGCGCCATTCTCGGTCTCCCTCTTTCCCGGCCGTGACCGTGGGCTGATCCTCTGGGTGCTGGCCAGAGGTGGCAGCAGGCCCCGCGACCAGGCAGCCCAGGACCCCGCGGGCACAGCACCAGGCAGCCCGGGTCACGCCTTCCCCTGAGGGTGTCCTCGGCCTGGGTGGATGTGGCCATCGTTGGTCAAGGAGCCCCGTGAGGTTTCTCATGGGATGAGACTTAGTGGCAGGGAGACGGCCACACTTCACCATGAAGGAAGAGAAGTGGAAGGAAGGACCCCAGAGGTGCGCATCTGCGCCCAGAAGAGAGGCCCGGGGAGGGGGGGAGGGATGCGGGCAGGGAGGGCCAGGGGAGGCGCTTCAGCGACCCACAGAACGGGCACTGCGGCCCGCGACCCGTCCTGTGTTCCAAAATGGCTAAAGGTAGGTTTCAAGTATTTGCCCAGTAAAACTGAGTCACCTGAGACTCAGCTGGATCTGGTCGTTCTGCCGTGTGAACGCCAACTCCCACGCTGCACCCCAGTGTGCACTTACACCTTTATCAGGGTGATTACAATATGAAGAAGGAAACTGAACAAGAACTGGGGGTGAACAGGAGGAGTCGGAGGCGGTGCGTGAAGGTGCCCCTGGTTTCGGAGGCGGTGTTTTTCGATTTGGGCGTCTGTGTTTCCGGCAGTGAGTGGACTGTTCTTACCTTGGTAACAGGAGAGAGGGACAGCGACTGCAGCACGGAGGGGTCTGTCTCTGCATCGGACGGATCCCCGCGGGAGGCCTGGGCAGTGCTGGGGTTTAGGGGGGAGTGAGCGGCGGCCTCTCCGTACTGTGGGTGACGGAGACGGGACACACCTGGGGTCGCCTCCTCCTGCCTGCCTGGGGACAGGGACCAGGCAGAGCGCGGGCTCCGGGGCACGTGGCCTCTTTCCGCTGGACCCGGTGCAAGCCTGACAGTGAGGCTGTCACCCGAGTGCCTGGGAGCGGGGGGTCGTGGCCAGTGACTGGACCCCGCTGTCACCTGCCCAGGGAGGGGCTGCTCACGGCTGAGCATGGTCACGGGATCCCGTCCGCCGTGGCCGCGGGCATCTGAATCTGAGGAAAAGCCTTCCCCCGGGACGGTGCGCGGAGGAAGGCGTCCTTTATGAACTGGCTCCGGGGACCGGGCAGGGGGTGCGGGACTCACACCCCGCGGCCCTCCCCGAGCTGAGGTGACGGAGCCGAGCCAGCAACGGGGGAGCGGAGCGTCCACTCAGCCGCGGGTGGAAGTCTGAGCCTGCGGGTTCCAGGGGCTGCAGCGTGGGGCGCCCCTTCTTCCCGGAACTCCTAAGCCACAGTCGCCCCGGCTCTCCTCTCAGCCGCAGGAGGGGCTCCTCTTCCATTGGCGGCCACGCGGCTGCCACCTCCCAGCAGGACACCGAGCGGCAGGCCTGGAGGGACCCTCCAGGAGACCCCACCTTGGCGGGAGCGGGAAAGGCCGAGGTCTCCCTGCTGCGGGGTCAAGGAGGTGGGACCTGAGGTCAGAGCGCGTCATCTCAAGGCCTGCGTTTGCAGAGCGGACGGTCAGCTCTGTGAGAAGCGGTGAAGGGCCGCGCCCCTCTCCATGAGCTGTGAGGCCGACGGCGAGCCTTCCTTCTGCAGATGTCGGGCCATCCTCAGTCGGACGCCGGACGCTGTGACTGAGGTTCCCGTTGGTGCGGAGCTCGTGTTCAGGTGGACGGGAGGGCACTGAGCAAGGGAGCAGCCCGGCAGACAGGGAGCACTTCAGATGGTGACGAAGGAGGCAGCTAGCAAAGCCTTCCTTCAGCTCTCCAGGAAAAAGCCCTGCTTTGAAGCGGTTGCTAATTTTTGTGGTGGGAATGTTACCATCCTGGCTGGGAATGTCGGTGCTAAGTGATCCAAGGGATGTCCATTGGCTCTTCAATTGCTAAACATTGGACACTTGGTTCTTGCGAGGTTGAAAGAGCTGGCTCTGGCATTGCGTGCACCCAAATAATGTGGTTTGGGAAAGAGCTGAAGATCTAAAAACTAAATGGACAGCGGAAGAGTTATCCAGGCAGAGACAATGGCTTGTGCAAAGGCCCTGAGGTCAGAATGGGCTGGGTTTTTCCAGGGAACCAAAGGAGGGCTGGTGTCCCCGGAGTCCAGCAGGATGGAGGATAGAGGAGACAGAGGCAGGCCACCACTGAGTTTGAGTTTTTTATTCTAAGACTGCAGGGAGTTTTTGGAGGGTTAACCAGGGGAATGCCTGGATCTGATTTGCATTTTTAAAAAGAGCATTGAGCTGCCCTATGAATACGGCAGGAGGTAAGCCGGGCGTTGATGGTCCCCCACTGATGTGGTGGCTCGGGCTGGTGTGCCAGCAGAAGAGGAAACAGAAGCAGCTGGACTCAGGGCCACGGACGTGACAGGTTTATCTCCAGGTGTTCCCTGGCCGTCTTCCAGGCGTCCGCCCAGCGCGCTGCCTGCCCTTGGCAGGGAGCAGGAGGCAGCCCAGAAGCGCCGGCCCCGCCGTCCCGCCTGCTTTTCTTCCCGTGCGTGCCCAGTTTTCCCACTCCTGATAAGTCAAGCGGAAGAGATGAGCAAACATATTTATCTTGGGTTCGAATGAAAGGCAGGAAAACAAAACAAAATCTCTTCAGCGCTACCCTCCTTCCCTTTGATTTCTGCCACCTGGGCTTCAGATTAGGGCCTTCTCCCTGGACTTTCATCTTCCCGGGCCTCCTGGGCGGGTGTCGGACACTTGTGTCAATGTGGTGGGTGGCAGCGGCAGACGGAGACGAGCCTCATCCCTATCGCCCTGCTCTGCGCCTCTCCCGGCCGTGACACAATAAAGAAGAGGATGAAAGGACTCGTCTGTCCAGACTGGCCCGGGTCCAGGAGAGTGATGATGGAGATGTTCTGTATTCCTGCTGTCCACGATGGTGGGCGAGCCCTTGAAATGTGGCTAGTGGGACCCGGACACTGGATTTCCAATTTTGTTTAATTTTGTAATTAAAAAAGAGGTTTTTTGGTTTTGTTTTCAGTGCTAGGAATCAAACCCAGGGGCACTCTACCATTCAGCTATCTCCCCAGGCTTTTTTTACTGAAGTCAGGATCTTGCTCAGGTTGACCTTGAACTTGTGATCCTGCTGCCTCAGCCTCCAGAAGAGCTGGGATCCCAGGCCTGTGCCACCGAGCTGGGAATCCTGTTTGATTAGCGAGACCTTACCCGGCTCCGCCCTCACCTTGGCCAATGGCATATTTGAGTGTGTAGCTAGTGGCTCCTGGGTTGGGCAGCACAGAGCTAGACGTGGGAAGTCACCCACGGCCTTGGTGGCTCTCTTTGTTTTTTAACCTGTGACTGGAGATCCTGCTGAGTTTCCTGGAACTCGGAAGAAGAGTGGGATCTTAGGGAGCTGTCCCTCGTCAAAGAGCCCTTCAGTTGGCAGAGAAAGGACTGGAGGCAGGAGAGGGTGACATGAGGGGCCCGGCTTCCTCTGCTGTGAGTGGCAGGAACTCTTCATCAGCCTGGAGGATCATCATCCTTGACCTGGGTATTTAAAACTAATATTAAATTTCCCCAGTTTTCAGCAGAACATTCTTCCTATATCATGTGCATGATGTCGAAGTCTCCTCTGACCTCCTTCTCAATCCTGAGCTCCTCCTCCATCTGCTGGACGTGGTCAGGGTGTGGTCAGTTTGGAGCGCATCCTTCCATACCTTTTTCTATGGCATAAGTAGAAGTGGATGAGCGGAAAACGTTCTGCATTGTTTTATAGGTTGTAGGTTTTGACACATGGTTTTTCTTTCTTTCAACAAGGTATGCTGGATCTTTCTGGGTCACTTCATAGATCTACCTATGATGAATAATGAAGAATGATTTTTTTTTCAAACCATTGTGTGTTCTTCTTTGCCTGGGCCTGTCATCTCAATCCAGCCTATTGATAAAACTAATTGTTCATTATTCTATTTGTTTTAGCAAACATTTTTTTTTTATTTATCTGCATGCACAGTGCTGCTGTAGGGTGCATGCTGAGGTTCATGGTTACTGGGTCGGAGAGTGACTGTTTTTAAATCTGTGTTCTTATTGGCGCCTGCTGTTCAGCGCTCATGATGGCAGTTACGCTGGGTTATACTTCTATCAGCTACGCGAGCACACCTGTTCCTCCACAGTCTCCAAAGCTCTCGACGTTGCCAAGTACCTCTGTGTATGCCAATCTAAGAGGGGACAGGTGGTGTCCTGTGGAGGCTGGATTTGTGCCTGTTTACAGCCACACAGACCCTCTCTTCTGCCCGTGGCTGCTTCCCTGTGGACTGATTCCTGGCCATGTTTCTGTCGCGCAGTTTTTATCACTTCATCCAGAACACGCGTCCTAGTGTGCCTACTGTGTGCCACGCAGTATTCTAAGTGCCAGGGATCTTTGTGTGCAGCCAAACAGAAAACATTCCTGTCTCATGGATGGCAGTTTATCTGTGGGAAGAAGACTGAGGTTAACAAAAAAAAAAAAAAAAAATCAAGAAAAGAGAGTGTGTTGGATTGAGTTTGGGGAAGGAGGAGGAGGTGGGAAAAGCCGGGAGAAGTGGCGCCCACGGCCTTTCTCCTGATTACCGGCAGCCGTGTCAAGGGCTGCTCCCGCCCGGGTTCTCTCTGTGCCCGCTGTGAGGCCACGCTGCCCACAGCCCATCGCTGGCTGCGTTCAGTGCCAGCCTTTCTCAGGGATTGTGCTGCTCTCTAGTGCATCCTGTCTTGAGGCTGCTGGACATTCCGTGTTGAGGGGATGCCTGTGATTCCCACGGGCGGTCCCCTCCGGATGGGCACCGGGTACTCCGGGTCTCCGTGGTGACCCTGCAGCCCTCCCTGGTTCCCTCTGCTGTGCCGGAGCTTTTCTGGTTGTCAGACGGGGGCCACGGCCGCCTGCACATTCACGATACTGTTTTCTCCCCGCAGCTGCACGGCTACATGGAGAACAAGCCGCTGGGGCTCCAGATCTTCATTGGGACGGCCGACGAGCGGATCCTCAAGCCGCACGCCTTCTACCAGGTGCACCGGATCACGGGGAAGACCGTCACCACCACCAGCTACGAAAAGATCGTGGGCAACACCAAGGTCCTGGAGATCCCCCTGGAACCCAAGAACAACATGCGGGCAACGTAAGGGCGGCAACGCCGGGCGGGCGCCGTGGCTCTGGGTGGGAAGCCGCAGGGCCAGGGGGCGGGACTGTGGAGGTGCTAAAGGTGCAGCGGTGGGCGGGGCCTGTCCTTGGAGAATGGGGAGCGTCCACCCTGGGAGGGCACCTGGCAGGGGACCTGGGTGGCCTTGAGGAATACACAGGGCCACAGGATAGACAGCTGGTCCGAGGTGGCCCAGGGGCCGGGACAGCGTCTTACCTCTGCTTCTGGTCATCGTGGAGGGTCCTGTGGCCTCTGTCAGTTCCCAGTCTGTGGAAGACCCACGCTCATTTCCAGGTTTAAAGTGTTCCATGTGGATGCTTTCCTGGGTCTTGGGAGGGACTCATGAATCTCTGTGTTACATGATTTGGGGGGAGGTTCCGTTTATGTCCATTTTAAAAAATGTATTTGGCTTAAAGAACTTACCAGGCAGCAACGCAGAGGGCCCAGCTCCCAGGCCAGCGTCCTGTGGTGTAGAGAGGGTCAGGCTGCACACGCCTTGGCTAACCCATCTTCTCATGAGAAAATAGATCCAAACGTAGGAGAACGGCAGGAAAGGGGCAGGGAACTCCCGAGAGACGGTCACTGAGATGGAGCAATTGTTAACTTTTCCCCATTTGCTAAATATACCCCTTCCTTTCCAGTCCTCCCTCCCTGAGCTGTTTTGAGACTTAATTGCAGGTTTTAGGCCTTTTAAATACCTCAGTGGGCCTCACCTAACAACAAAGGTGCTCTTGCACAGCCCAGCACATGGTCAGGTTCAAGGGAGGAGACCTTACCCGGCTCCGCCCTCACCTTGGCCAATGGCATATTTGAGTTTTTCAGATACTTTTGGGAGTAGCAGGGTTGGTGCGAGAAGGTCCCCTAGGCAAGTCGTTTCCCTGGGGACTTTTTCTTCAGCCACATCTTGGGGCACATTCCGGCTGAGGTCCCGTGGGTGTGTGGCAGGGCCTGTCCCCGGCGGCCAGCTGCACCCGTGTATCCAGAGAGCTGCGGAAGGTGGTTTGGTGGGTGACCCCTCCTGTTCCCCAAGCCTCGGGGTTGTCAACCGGGCTGTCCGCTCCTGCAGCATCGACTGCGCGGGGATCCTGAAGCTGCGCAATGCGGACATCGAGCTGCGCAAGGGCGAGACGGACATCGGCAGGAAGAACACGCGCGTGCGCCTGGTGTTCCGCGTGCACATCCCCGAGGCCAGCGGCCGCATCGTCTCCCTGCAGACGGCGTCCAACCCCATTGAGTGCTGTAAGTGGGGGCCCCAGGTGGGAAACCGGGCTACGCCAGCGTCCACCCTGGGCAGGGCACCTGGCAGGGGACCCGGGAGGCCTGCTGGGCCGCACAGGGCCACGAGGGTTAACGGTGGGTCCGCGATGACCCAGGGCCGGGACAGGGAGCGAGCCAGGTTTTTATCTCTGCTTCTGTTTACTTGCGGAGGGTTTTGTGGCCTCACAGGAAATTAAAAAATAGTACAGCTGATGGGGAGCTGTGGTGTTGTTTGGAGGATTCGGAACATATAAATGCTCTTGTGGTCCTAGAAGGGGCCCATGCGGTTGGCGTGAGGGCCCTGGACACAGTGTCCCTTTCTCCTTCTCCTCCTCTGCCCTTTCAGCGGGAACATCAGCTACAGGACAGCGCCTGGCGTCCCCGGGCTCTGCTACTGCCAGTCACCCTGCTAAGCCCTGCACTCCCAGCGGCTTACGGGACACAGCAGTCCTTGGCCCTGGCCTCTGTCGCTGTCCCATTTTACAGATGAGGAGGGCGGTTGAGGGGTCGGCAGCCGGACCACCCGGCCAGAGGGCGGCAGGGCTGGGATCTGCTGCCCGAGGAGCTGAGCTCTGTCCCCTCCCGGCCCTGCTGTGGCTTTCCTGAGGACTCTCTGGTGGCAGGTGCTGGGCCGCCCCAGGGAGCCGGCCACTTTCCCTGCTGTCCACCAGCTCTCGCCTGGCGGGGATAAAGACCTCCTGCCCACAGTCGTGAAGTTGCAGGACACCTTCAGCATCCAGCACGAGAGATGGCCGGGAGGTGCCATCTGGAAGGGCACGGGGCAGGACGTCCAGCTCGGCCTCTCAGCTTCAGGGCTGCCCTGAGCTTTCTCTGAGGAATTGGCAGGAGGACTTCATGAAGCTCACCCTCTGCTGTGCTTCCGAAAGCTTACGATTATTTCCAAAAGCACAAAGAAGGAAAAAAGAATACTGTTTCAGAAAAAAAAAAAATTGTTTAGATAATATTTTTAGTCTTCCTTGAAGAATCTTCTGTGTTGTGCGGGGTGTGGTGGCGCACGCCTATAATCACAGCAACTTGGGAGGCTGAGGCAGGAGGATTGCGGGTTCAGAGCCAGCCTCAGCAACTCAGTGAGACCCTGTCTCTAAATAAAATATTATAAAGGGGCTGGGGTGTGGCTGAGTGGTGAAGCTCCCCTGGGTTCCATGAAAAGGAACCTTTCACGTTGTTGTAATCATGTTCCGTGTTGTTTCTGAATTTTTTTTATTGGACATTTTTCCACAGGTAGGTATCACGACCTCAGTTTCCTACAGAGGCAGGGGAGGTGGTAGAAACAGAAGAGGGCTGGGCGGCACCCAGAGGGCTAGAGAGATTGGGGATCAGTGGCACTTCCCCCTCCTGGGCTGCTCTTCCCCAGCTCCAGCAGGATTCTCACATGGGAACGTGGGCTCAGTGTGGCCAGATGTTTGAACTGTAAAACCTAAACCAAAGTCTCCTGGTGTTTTATTTATATTTTATTTTTTGGTACTAGAGATTTAACCCAGGGGTGCTTTACCACTGAGCTACATCCCCAGCCTTTTTTATTTTTTGAGATAAGGTCTCACTAAGTTGCTTAGGGCCTCCCTAAGTTGCTGAGGCTGGCTTTGAACTTGCAATCCTCCTACCTCAGCCTCCTGTGCACAACAGCACAGCTCTGGGTGTTTTAAAGATGGCGACGGGGCCGGGGTGTTCCTTGGTGGTGGAGCTTGTGGTCAGCATGCACAAGGCCCTGGGTTCCGTCTCTAGCACACTCATATGAATTGATTAAAAATGGCAACGAATTTAAAATACTCTGAGGCTCAGACAAAGCCTGCGAGTGGCTTCTGTTACTCAGAGGTGGTCTTGAGCTGCAGATGAGCGATGGGAGAGCAGCGCTGTTTCACACAGGAAGGGCTGGGGAAGATTGGCCTTGGGGTGAGAAGCCAGCAGCAGGTAGGGCGGCCCCTTCTCTAGGAGAGCAGCCGTTGCTTGGCCTTGGTAGGTCTTGGGTGGAGGGGTGCTCTGCTTTCTTGCTGCCTCTTGGGGGGCCAAGCTGGTGTTGTTTGTATTCTGAGCTGGGAGAGTTAGGGCCCCACAGCAGATACCAGGGGACGTGTGTGGAGACCTTGACACGTAGGAATGCAGACTTCCCCTCACCAACTGTGGTCTCCAGGCTGCTACACCCTGCCCTGGGATGCACCCCACCTTAGGGTGCTGTGGGGAGGTGATGCAGGTGCTTCCCCAGTGATCTGGGACATTGTGAGCAGAGAAGGTCTTCACTTTCTGGCCTGAGCAGGGCCACCTGCCGAAGCCCGCGGGAGTCCCCTCTCTGCTCCTCACGACAACTTATCTGGCGTCTTTAAGAATCATTATTAAACCATACTCCTCCTCCACCCAGGGTCATACTCCTCCTCCTACAAGGTCAACGGGGCCTTAGGAAATGTGCTTTCTCTTCTTTTCTTTTTAAAAAGCACTAGATTCACCCGCCTCGTTCTGACGGATAAGGAAACTGAGACTTTCTTGGTAAAGTGATTCACCCATTTTCGCTCTGTAGGTGGCGAAGCCGAATCTCCAACTTTCTAGTTGTGTGAAATACCTGCTGCTTTGAGCTTTCTCATAACTCCACCCTTTCTCGTCATACCACCCTGGGCTGCCTCTTGGCCACTGTCCCTCTCACCCAGAATCTTGGCCATTTTTCTTTGCTTCTTGGTTCCGTGTTCCTGGCCCAGTGTCTGGTGGTTCCGTAAATGCTTACTGACTGACCGGGTTGCTGTAATCTGTAGGGATACAGTCAATCAGAGTCCAGTGACAGCATGCGAGGGACGTGCTGGCGCAGTCGGTGTGCAGTAGGTCATCACTGGCCAGTTGACTTGGTGTGTGCCTGTTGGAGAGCATGACGTGGTAGGAAACGGAGTGGGCCGGCACTTACTTGCAAGGTGACTTGTCGACTTGGGAGTTGCCTTTTGTGTGCCCTCTCGGGAAACGAGGACGAGTTCCCAGATTCGAGAAGAAACGTGAACCAGCTACTGGAGCCTGGCTCGGGGGGGAAAGGTCTGGCTGTGGAGAGCGCGGTTTCCTTCTCTTAGCTCCCACTGCAGCCCGCCCGAGGTCCAGCCCCGCCTTGCACGCTGGTCTGCGGTGTTGCTGGGTGCTACCCCCTCCTCCCCGACCCCTGCCGTAGTCCCACCCAGACGGTGGCACCTTGCAGGCTTCCATCCTCTGAGCGCCGCCCCACCCCCACTTCTCCGGGGCAGAAGTCAGGGAGCCGCTGGTGTCCTGCCCACAGCAAGCCTCCCTCCTGTGGCCCTCCTGGCCAGCTCAGCCGCCTGCCTCCTGTGCCCAGGCCCTTTCCCTGGCTCTCGGTGGTCCCAGCTTCAGCTCCTGTCTCTGTTGGCCCAGCAGGCCCTGCCTCCCCGTATCCGATTCCCAGGCTTCCTGGGCAGCTGCCGCTGGCCGCTTAAACATAAGGCGTTTATTCTGTCCTGGGCCCAGAGGCAGAGGCCCGAAGTCGAGGGCCACAGGTTGACTGCGTTGGGGCCCCCAAGGGAGCTGTCCCAGGCAGCCCTCCCCGCTGCAGGGCCCGCCGTGCTCCTTGGTGTGCCCCGCCTTCTCCTGGCTTCCCTGTGTCCTTTCCGGGACACTGTCACTGGATTCTGGCCCACCCCGATGCTGGATGTTTTCCTACCCATCTTGCCCTGATTATGTCTGCCAGGACCCTGTTTCCACGTAAGCTGTCAGATGGACGTGAGGCTTTGGGGGGGCACGCCAGCTGCCGCCTCTCTGGACACGTTTCTCGACTCCCCTCCGTCCCCTCCTGGGATCTCAGGCACTGGGGTCTCTCTCTGCTGACTCCTGGCTGTCACCTCCACCCAGGTCACAGGTGCTCAACCTTGTCTGTACCTTAGAATCACCTGTGAGACATCTCGACCCACCTAACACCTCTCTGTGAGTCACACCTGTTGTGATCGTGTTTTATATTTACCTTATGGATAGATATAAAATGACTGGTGCCAGGGGCCCAACCCGGAGACCCTGATTCTGTTTGTGGGGAGCAGCCTGGGCATGGAGGCTTTCAGGGGTCCCCTGATAAGTCTCATATAGGGCCACGTTGAGGACTGCTGACCCAGAGCCCTCCCCTGTAGCCTTCAGTCACGGTCAGGCAGCCCGCATGGGGAAAGTGTCCTACCCACCCACGGGCTCGGGTCCCTCTGTGCTCGACAACCCAGGTTCCTCTGCAGTCTCCCCACGTAAGGGCTGGGCCAGGTGTTTGCGGGGCCTGGCTCACAGAGAAGCCTCCAGAATATCGAGAAGATGAGAGGGAGGCAAGCTCTGCATGTCGCCTGGGGGAGGGGGGAGGAAAGGCAGCCATGAGACAGGGAGGGATGTCCGCAGGCTCAGACTCCCCGTCCCGAGAGAACCTTCCGGAACCTCTCTAGCCATGACTCACCGCACTTCTGCCCTGCACACGGGCCTCTCTGTACATTGCATTTCAGAAAACACCTAAAGCAATTTTAAACCAAACCCTGCCGGCCGCAGCACAGGACGTAAATTCACTCACTCTACAGGAGGGCGGAGGGAGGGGTGGGTGGAGGGAAGGTGCATCCTGCCTCCCCCTCCCCACTTATTGTTTTGACTGAGTATGATCAAGATACTGTAGGTTGCATAGGTCGTCAGCAAGCAGCGGATGATTTTTGACAATTTCGAGTGGCCGCTGTTCACAGCCAGACCCAGAGCCTCCTCCACTGCTGTCCCTTTGGCCCACCTCCCCTCGGCCCCACGTGGAAAGGCAGCCGCGGTGGTTGGAGCTCCGGGAACTTGGTGGGACTGGCCTGCATGGTGGACGCCCTTCTGGGTCCTGTGTGTGTTTGGAGACCATGGTGCTGTGGCCTGGGTCAGTGGTTGGTTCTTATTCATTGCTGGGCAGGACTGTAGGAATAGAGCAATTGTTTGTGCCACTGATGACCTTTGGTTTGTCCCCAGGGCTTGGGGATCATGAACAAGGCAGT